GTTACGATCAGTGCAAAAGAATAGACAAAATAGCACAATTGGTCAGGAGCCAGTAAAACAGCCGCCATTGCCTCTGGTGCCATCACTACATGAATAGGCTATTACGCTACCGGTATTCAGGCTATAGTATAGGCTAATGTCCATGGGGCTCATGGAATACCCTTCAATGGTCAGCCTCAGCTGGTTGCTGCCCAGATTCAATCTTCCTTCAATGATTCAATGATCCTTAATGATGATGAGTTACTGTCCAGCAGAGATGGCGGAAGTAGGGGTGTGGCATGCCGCTCCTCTGAACTAAAAATAAATATTTGGACACTGAAGTTTTAGCCTACTGTAGTAACTGAAATATGGACACTGACTGTAGGCTTATAACTCTCACATGTATAGGAGTGGAGAAATATTATTTATTTATTTCAGCATCTTGTGAGAATGAAAATCACAGTTAAGGACCGTGCAAACTGCTTTCTTTGTCAGCGACATAAAAGCTGACAGTAGTCTATTTCAACCACATAAAATATGCATCCAAGACGAACTGAAATCTTATCAGATTAATGTTGGATCGTTTTCACATCTTTCCGCTGTTTTAGAGTTAGGCTATTGCATTTTCTCCCCGGTCCCTACACGTCCTCGCTCTGCGAGCAGAAAACTTTACCAATGTCAGGATTAGGCTTAATATTGATGCATTCATTCTATCAATTTATTACATGGTTCTGGTAAGCACCGGGTTTTTTTTTTTACTTCTAGGGCAACAGGTAATGACAGAAGAGAAGCTACATCAGTGGAGGCTGGTGGGTGGAGCTATAGGAGGACGGGCTCATTGTAATGGCTGGAATGGAATACATGCAACAGAGTCAAACATGTGGTTTCCATATGTAAGATGTGTTTGATAACGTTCAATTTATTCCATTCCAGCCATTACCTCTGTAGCTCAGCTGGTAGAGCACGGCGCTTGTAACGCCAGGGTAGTGGGTTCGATCCCCGGGACCACCCATACGTAAAAATGTATGCACGCATGACTGTAAGTCGCTTTGGATAAAAGCGTCTGCTAAATGGCATATTTATTATTATTATTATTATTACAATGAACCCTCCTCCTATAGCTCTGAGCCCTCCTCCTATAGCTCCTCCCACCAGCCTCCTCTGAGCTACATGTACAGTCGTGGTCAAAAGTTTTGAGAATGACACAAATACTAATTTTCACAAAGTCTGCTGCCTCAGTTTTGATGATGGCAATTTGCATATACTCCAGAATGTCATGAAGAGTGATCAGATGAATTGCAATTAATTGCAAAGTCCCTCTTTGCCATGAAAATGAACTTAATCCCCCAAAACATTTCCACTGCATTTCAGCCCTGCCACAAAAGGACCAGCTGACATCATGTCAGTGATTCTCTCGTTAACACAGGTGAGAGTGTTGACAAGGACAAGGCTGGAGATCACTCTGTCATGCTGATTGAGTTAGAATAACAGACTGGAAGCTTTAAAAGGAGGGTGGTGCTTGAAATCATTGTTCTTCCTCTGTTAACCATGATTACCTGCAAGGAAACACGTGCCGTCATCATTGCTTTGCACAAAAAGGGCTTCACAGGCAAAGATATTGCTGCTAATAAGATTGCACCTAAATCAACCATTTATCGGATCATCAAGAACTTCAAGGAGAGAGGTTCAACTGTTGTGAAGAAGGCGTCAGGGCGCCCAAGAAAGTCCAGCAAGCGTAAGGACCGTCTTCTAAAGTTGATTCAGCTGCGGGATCGGGGCACCACCAGTGCAGAGCTTGCTCAGGAATGGCAGCAGGCAGGTGTGAGTGCATCTGCACGCACAGTGAGGCAAATACTTTTGAAAGATGGCCTGGTGTCAAGAAGGGCAGCAAAGAAGCCACTTCTCTCCAGGAAAAACATCAGGGACAGACTGATGTTCTGCAAAGGGTACAGGGATTGGACTGCTGAGGACTGGGGTAAAGTCATTTTCTCTGATGAATCCCCTTTCCGATTGTTTGGGGCATCCGGAAAACACCTTGTCCGGAGAAGACAAGGTGAGCGCTACCATCAGTCCTGTCTCAGCATCCTGAGACCATTCATGTGTGGGGTTGCTTCTCAGCCAAGGGAGTGGGCTCCTCACAATTTTGCCTAAGAACACAGCCATGAATAAAGAATGGTACCAACACATCCTCCGAGAGCAACTTCTCCCAACCATCCAAGAACAGTTTGGTGACGACCAATGCCTTTTCCAGCAGGATGGAGCACCTTGCCATAAGGCAAAAGTGATAACTAAGTGGCTCGGGGAACAAAACATCGACATTTTGGGTCCATGGCCAGGAAACTCCCCAGACCTTAATCCCATTGAGAACTTGTGGTCGATCCTCAAGAGGCGGGTGGACAAACAAAAACCCACAAATTCTGACAAACTCCAAGCATTGATTATGCAAGAATGGGCTGCCATCAGTCAGGATGTGGCCCAGAAGTTAATTGACAGCATGCCAGGGCGGATTGCAGAGATCTTGAAAAAGAAGGGTCAACACTGCAAATATTGACTCTTTGCATAAACTTAATGTAATTGTCAATAAAAGCCTTTGACACTTATGGAATGCTTGTAATTATACTTCAGTATACCATAGTAACATCTGACAAAAATATCTCATAACACTGAATCAGTGAACTTTGTGAAGACCAATACTTGTGTGATTCTCAAAACTTTTGACCACGACTGTAGGCCTCTCTAATTATAAGCAAGTTGGCTAACCCATAGCCTACCAGATGTCGGAAATTATATGCAGAAAAATATATAAAATAGGGGTGAAAGTAGCCTCAACAGCCAGAGTTGACTGGCAGGGACCGTGACTTGCACAGAAGGGAGTGGACACATCAATCAATTGAGGCTACAAGTATGCCTAAAGACAATTGCCAAATGTCATGAATCTTTTCATGTTTTAATAGACGTCTCTTTACATTCATTAAATGGCGTGTGCACAGTGCACTGTTTTAGATGCTGGAATCATTATTGAGTGGCACAGTGGTTTAAGGCACTGCATCGCAGTGCTAGCTGTGCCATTAGAGATCCTGGTTCGAATCCAGGCTCTGTTGTAGCCGGCCGCGACCGGGAGACCCATGGGGCGGCGCACAATTGGCTCAGCATCATCCAGGGTAGGGAAGGGAATGGCCGGCAGGGATGTAGCTCAGTTGATAGCGCATGGCTTGTGCCAGGGTTGTGGGTTCGGTTCCCATGGGGGGACCAGTATAAAAAAGTAATGTATGCACTCACTAACTGTAAGTCGCTCTGGATAAGAGCTATGTATAAAAGGCGCTGAATGGTAAATCCGACATCTGCATTGGCTGTGCAGCATTTACGGTGAGAAGGCCTCTGCAGAGCCCCACATTTTCAGCAAAAATAAATAAATAATACATTTTCTTTTTTTGGCTTGCCCAAGCATTGCAAAGCAATCACTAGCCTGCTATTCAGTCGAGTGGCTGTGTGGTCCCACATTTGGGATTAAGGGTCTCTTTTCCAAGTTTAAAATGATAAACATTCAACATTGGCCATGCTGTCAATGAAGCATGATTTGTGCTGCGCTCAAAACAACTGTTAACTCAGAACTACGAAAACTTGACTTCAGTGAGTTCAAGACAACTTGGGAACTCGGGACAAAACGAGCTTCGACTTGGAAAATATGTTTTGAACAGTCATCCAACTCAGAATTGTAAATCCGGAACTTTGGCCTCTTTCTAGAGCTACGACCTGAAGATCAATGACGTCATCATGATTCGACCTTGTTTTTTTCAGAGTTCCCAGTTGTCTTGAAAGCAACATAAATCTAGAGAATGCCAGACTTTGATTACAACATTTGCCCACAAGGACCGCTGTGCCACCTTCCTGTTCAAGTGAGCACAACAAGGTGAGTCCAAAAATGTCTTGTATGCTGCTGCATAAATGATGTAATATGCCAGGGAGATATGTATACTGTAGCTAAAAAAGTAATACTAAGTGTATGTTGTGTAGTAAGCTGTTAGTAGCCCATGTGCCTCACCCTAATAATTTGGTATATTTTCCCCTCTTAATTTCACCTACTGTTCTGATTTGGTGGTGCATATGTAGCTTATAACCTGTTTTAGAGAAATGTAATCATCGAATATTGTAAGAACTTTCATTGTCTGCTTATATGCCCCCTTTATTTATCCTACGGTTCTGACTTGGTGTACAGGGAGAACACTGTAAGAACGGCCCATGTTCTGAAATCTGTTGCTGTACATTTCAAAAGAGCTAAAAAAAATAGTAATGTTGACTACGTCCGTCCTAGCTCGCTCATTCATGTCTTAATCGAAATTGCGGATTGCCTTTCATCCGCTTGTCGTCCCCTTATGCCATAGTTTGTACATCTCAATTGTCATTAGAAACCACATTTGTTTAAGCAAGTCAGCCATATCGGCTATGTTTTTTTTTTAAGCCAGTAAATGAGGCTGAATGAACTGTTTCGCTGCCAGACAAGGCTCCGCTGATAGCCAGGTGTAACAGTGGTAAGATGTTGGGGACTGCTGTTGGGACAGCTTTATGTAGGCCCTAACAGTTTGTGGGCACCGTTTGTCACCATTATAGTGCAATTAATGTATTGTTTAGTGTTGTGTTGTGTAGTGTAGTGGCTTTGCTGGCATGCATCCCATAAACCACTGGCTGTACCCCACTGCAGACGTTGGATTGACCTTTTACAAAATGTAGGAGGAGCAAGGCATCACCATACAGAGCTCGATTTGGCCTCCACAAGCCTCTGGAGGCTCTGCAATTGCGTCACACCCTACATATGGAGCCTCTGGCCCACATTTCCAGATGAAGCATAAATTGGCATTAATAGATCATCAGATCATTGCACTGGTCTTGCTCTGGCGTGCTGACCCTCGTGAAGTGGCACATCATCATCATCGACACATTCGGGAGGGCCTCCTCCTCTGACCGCCAGTAACCCCGTTGACATCACAGCTGCCTCAAGCACACGCCACCTTCAGCGGTCCAATCGCAGACAAGAGAACTGCCTCTGTCTTGAAACGTTACCCATCACTTCCGGGCTGATAACAAGGGCCATAGATGCCCTCATATTTCCACTAAAATCACTTAGTTTTATGTATACTTTGGCACCATAGCTTTGATGTTTGGGCGTGACATGATGACAAAAGCCAGCAAATGATTTTTGTGTATTGACGAAATTATTCCAAGAGCCGCGAGAATAGCGGGCGAGAAAGAGGTGAGATTGCATTGTCTGGGCTCTCGATTCTTGCAGATGTGCTGCAATGTTAGCTAGCTAACGTTAGCTGGCTAGCAATGCTGTTTCGTAGCTTGCTACCTATCTCTCAACGAATAATGAAATGTTATTCGATGTAATTGAAATGAGACTAGTGCCAACTCGCTTTGGTCAAAACGTTTTTTGTTATAAGTTAGCTAGCTGTGTATCTTTCTTATCCACAGCACAGCTGTAATGCCGGGCTGATGATGATGATGATGATGATGATGATGATGGTGATGCTAACGTCGATAGCATTTGATAGGCGCTGTCTTGCGTCCCTCCCGCTGTCTGACAGCGTTAAAGTAAGCTGCTAGGTAGCTAACTAGCAAGCATACACGGTAGTTGTGACAAAAGGGCTTCTTCATGGCAGTTTGAGAGTATTGATCTACCCATTTATATCACGTTTGATTGCATTGTATTAGGATCTAGCTAGCTATTTGGGTTGTTTGTTAGTTAACTAGCGTAAGCAATGTTTTTTTTTTGTGTATGTTTAAAAAAAATCTATCTAGCTAACATACTGGTAACATAACAGGTAGCTATGGTCTGACTGTGTGACCCAGTTCAGGATTTAGGATGGTCAGGTACTTTGATTTGATTAACCTATGCCAGTAACTAATGCTATGGCACCACATGAGCCATCTTTCACATCTTGTTAACTAAAAATACTTGAACTGTTGTGCAAACTGTGTTTATGATGACACTGGTGGACAGTGGTGGATTGCGCCAGATTATCTGACCTTTTTTGTTTTTAATTAACAACAGACACATTATCTCTCTCTCAAGGACTCTAGGAATGTTGTCTTGTCTTTACTTTCTGGTCAATTGGAAGTAGACAGAGTTTACACAGCAGAGCATGTCTTCTGGGTGATTGTGAGTTCTGTTTTTGAGAGCAGGACCAGACTTGACCTAGGCTTTCCCTAACCATAACAGAAAAACAACAACTAATTTGTTTACATTTACTGGAGTAGGCTTAACTAGATGTTTCTGTGCTGTTAGGCCTACATTTCAGTTTGCATCCCGTTAAGCCAGATGGTCTGCCAGCCATTATTACTGTGTCATGACTCATGTACATGGAGATTCAGAGTAACCTAAAACTTGACTGGTAGGTCTTCTGAGGTGTGTCCTTATAATTTATTAGCGGGCAATTCCACGGTAATAGAGTGACACTGAGACTCAGATTTTTCTCTTTAAAATGTATGTCAAGTAAAAACCAATGATTGCAAAGTTCAACAAACAATACAACTATGCACATGGACTACTTTTAAATATGTCAACAAAATTTAACAAAAACACATTTACTAGAACGGTGCAGATGCAAAGTTTGGTAACAGAATGACGGTTTGGGCTGTTTGTGCCGTGATTCTGTTACCATGTAATTGCCCTAGCCTATCCTCTCTACCATAGAGGCTGGACCTGTATATCTGGTCTCGGGTGACAAAGCCTTGAATTTCTGGTGAAGGAATCAACAGAAATTTGACGAAGAGCTGTGAGACTTTGAATCAGTGGCTTTACTATCTTATAGTATTCTGACTTGGTAACATGTGTATCAACATCATAGGCTGCTGGTTTAAGAGTCAAGAATGCATGATCATTGACCAGGGTACAGACAGAGTTCTCTTCTGAAAGGTCATGGGTTAGTCTAGCCTCAGCTTAGCTTCCCACACAACGTAGACGAAGACCTACTTATTAAGGGAAGTGTGTGTTTGGGACAGGGCCATTCTACTTCTCTACATGCTCAACTAGGCCTATAGTCTCCCTTGAGATGAATTACTTTTTCTGGACCAAAATCTCTAGCTCAAGTATAGTAACAATGCTCTCAATTTGTTATGTAACCCAATCCTAGTTGTGAAGCGTGAACACTGAGATAAGGCGAAGGGCTCGGCTATTGCAGAAAGAAATACAAAGATGTGATCAAAACAACAACAGATGGTAGAATCACAGCCATATGGATATAATCTGTTATCTCTACAGTGAAGCAGTTGTGATGGTGGTAATACCGTAAAGGTAACTACGAGATTCTACAAACCATAAACAATACCATAGCCCCATGCACTGGAGTCTTATCTAGTAATATTAGCCTAATAGTAGCCTAGTAGTAGTAGAAAATGTTGTTGTTATTATTACGAAGAAGGTTGGTAGCACAGGTTGTCATTCTGTTTCATACCAAATAGAAACTTAATGGCAGCTAAACTATCAAATTGGTGGTGGTGTTGGAGAATCATCTGAGAGAAACTTTGAACAAAACACAAATATGACCTACCACGCTGCCAGACGCTCCTTTGTATTATCAACAACCCTAACAATAACATTGCCGCTGTTTCCCCAAATGCAGATTCGATCTTTAAATAGTGGACTGGACTGACATGTAGCCTATTGGGGAATGGGGATATTCACGTAGTTAATATTTGAAGGTGTGTCGTCATGATTTGTTATGACGTTAGGCCCAGGGTACAGTAGCCTATATTTGCTGATACGGTTTAGAGAGGTGTGGATGGACATGGGTAGGCCTGAAGGTGTTTTTTGTTATTCCACTGCAAAAGACCACCTATTTTCTACCAACAGTGGCTGAATATACAGTTTGTTATTTCAACCACAGTGATGCTTTGTGTAACGGAGACCCACCAAGCCCAACCCAACCCTGGGTCATACAGTGGGGGAAAAAAGTATTTAGTCAGCCACCAATTGTGCAAATTCTCCCATTTAAAAAGATGAGAGAGGCCTGTAATTTTCATCATAGGTACATGTCAACTATGACAGACAAATTGAGGTAAAGAAATCCAGAAAATCACATTGTAGGATTTTTAATGAATTTATTTGCAAATTATGGTGGAAAATAAGTATTTGGTCACCTACAAACAAGCAAGATTTCTGGCTCTCACAGACCTGTAACTTCTTCTTTAAGAGGCTCCTCTGTCCTCCACTCGTTACCTGTATTAATGGCACCTGTTTGAACTTGTTATCAGTATAAAAGACACCTGTCCACAACCTCAAACAGTCACACTCCAAACTCCACTATGGCCAAGACCAAAGAGCTGTCGAAGGACACCAGAAACAAAATTGTAGACCTGCACCAGGCTGGGAAGACTGAATCTGCAATAGCTTGGTTTGAAGAAATCAACTGTGGGAGCAATTATTAGGAAATGGAAGACATACAAGACCACTGATAATCTCCCTCGATCTGGGGGGTCAAAATGATCACAAGAACGGTAATCAAAAATCCCAGAACCACACGGGGGGACCTAGTGAATGACCTGCAGAGAGCTGGGACCAAAGTAACAAAGCCTACCATCAGTAACACACTACGCCGCCAGGGACTCAAATCCTGCAGTGCCAGACGTGTCCCCCTGCTTAAGCCAGTACATGTCCAGGCCCGTCTGAAGTTTGCTAGAGTGCATTTGGATGATCCAGAAGAGGATTGGGAGAATGTCATATGGTCAGATGAAACCAAAATATAACTTTTTGGTAAAAACTCACCTCGTCGTGTTTGGAGGACAAAGAATGCTGAGTTGCATCCAAAGAACACCATACCTACTGTGAAGCATGGGGGTGGAAACATCATGCTTTGGGGCTGTTTTTCTGCAAAGGGACCAGGACGACTGATCCGTGTAAAGGAAAGAATGAATGGGGCCATGTATCGTGAGATTTTGAGTGAAAACCTCCTTCCATCAGCAAGGGCATTGAAGATGAAACGTGGCTGGGTCTTTCAGCATGACAATGATCCCAAACACACCGTCCGGGCAACGAAGGAGTGGCTTCGTAAGAAGCATTTCAAGGTCCTGGAGTGGCCTAGCCAGTCTCCAGATCTCAACCCCATAGAAAATCTTTGGAGGGAGTTGAAAGTCTGTGTTGCCCAGCAACAGCCCCAAAACATCACTGCTCTAGAGGAGATCTGCATGGAGGAATGGGCCAAAATACCAGCAACAGTGTGTGAAAACCTTGTGAAGACTTACAGAAAACGTTTGACCTGTGTCATTGCCAACAAAGGGTATATAACAAAGTATTGAGAAACTTTTGTTATTGACCAAATACTTATTTTCCACCATAATTTGAAAATAAATTCATAAAAAATCCTACAATGTGATTTTCTGGAATTTTTTTCCTCATTTTGTCTGTCATAGTTGACGTGTACCTATGATGAAAATTACAGGCCTCTCTCATCTTTTTAAGTAGGAGAACTTGCACAATTGGTGGCTGACTAAATACTTTTTTTCCCCACTGTATTTGTTAGGGCACATCGTAGTAAAATGTTTTGCAATGGAAAACAAACATTTGTATTTCTTATTGGTCAGGTTTAGGTAGTCCCTCCCTATTTCTTCAGTTTGGTGCCAAATGAATGACCCACCCACCGCTGGCCTTTGTGTCCTTGTGCCAGAGAGAGCGAGAGAGGAAGTGAACAGGAATAGTGCTGCTGACCAAGGAAGAGGCTGAGGAGAGGATAGGGATGTGCCTCCTCCCCAGTCCCCAGGCATTGATTTATCACTGCTAGAATAGAATCAGTGGAGTGTGGCGTTTTCCTGTCAGTCTACACCCTGTCCCTGCAGCTGGCTGGTGCAGATAGGCTACAGACCTAAACAACACAGGATGGTGCAGAATACAGATAGGCTACAGACCTAAACAACACAGGATGGTGCAGAATACAGATAGGCTACAGACCTAAACAACACAGGATGGTGCAGAATACAGAACCCAACACCGTTTGGTAGAGCTTTGTCTGTGTGCCATATTGTTGATTGGTTGTTGTTTTGTAGGTTCACTGTTGATTAGGTATTATCTGATACTTGCTTGCCTAGCATGACTACCAGTATTAGGCCTATTCCATGTTTTAGAGGCGTGTAGCCTAGATTCGTTGCTGGGTTGTCTTGCGAATTGGTACGTTACTAATGTTTTGTTTGAGTCTCATTTAAAAACAAAACAACATTTGATCTGTCTATCCCTCCCTCTCCACCACCTATCTTCATCTCTGACGTGTGTTGTCTGTTCTCTCCCTACAGGTGAGCTGACTCCTCTACCGAGCTGCGTTTGTTAGTCAGTCCATCAAGCGGATCCACCAAAGGGACCACCAGTGCATGACAAGGAACACAACCAGTCTCCCAAAGAAGTGTCTGGTTGTGTCCCTCACCCTTCCTGCCCCGCCCACCTCAACTGACTCCACCCCCTGACCCTTGAACCCTGACCTCCAAGATGAAACTAAAAGAGGACATGAACCCGCTGCTTCTGCAAGTCTTCCGCTCGGTGGTCTGGGTCTACTCTGTCATTACCTTCCTGCCATGGTACCTCTTCTCGGGCGCCGGCACCAACCTAGACCGGGCACGGCGGGTCAAGGCGCGGTCGGTGAGCGGGCGCCCGGCGGGCCCTTACCGGGCGATCAACCAGGCGGACGGTAGCCATCAGAAGCTGGTGTGGTCCTTGCACCCGGGGGTGGACACCCTGGACAAGGTGATGGTGCACGGGGCGACCAGGTTCCCAGAGCGGGACTGCCTGGGCACCAGAGAGGTGCTGAGCGAGGAGGACGAGCTCCAACCTAACGGGAAGGTCTTCAAGAAGGTGAGGAAGAGAGGGGAAAGTGGATTTGAATAGCTTTCTTGATGTTATGTGTGAGATGTTGTGTTTATGTTGTGCATGAGAAAGGCCTCCTCGCTACTGTTGCAGTAGCACTAGGAGGACATTAGATGGCACTGTCTGACTGTTTGAAGGCTGCAGAGGTTGTTTATGACTGGTTTTTATAGTTAATTCTGGGGTAATAGTGCTGTCGGTGTGTGACTGTTTAGTAGTGTACTACTAGTATGTGTTGTTTGTGAAGGTTATCCTAGGGGAGTATCAGTGGATGTCGTACGAGGAGACCTACCAGTCAGCAGTGTGTTTTGGCAGTGGTCTGGCCGCACTGGGCCAGAGGCCTCAGTGTAACATCGCCATCTTCTGTGAGACCAGGGCGGAGTGGATGATCGCAGCACAGGCCTGCTTCATATACAACTTCCCATGTGAGTGGTTATGTGAAAGACAGTAACACACATTATAGCAGCACAGAAACACACACAGCACAGAAACTCACACACACACACCTTTTGTAGGATGAATCTCTAACCCCAGTGTGTTATTCTACCAGTGGTGACGTTGTACTCTACTCTGGGCGGAGCGGCCATCGCCCACGGTCTCAACGAAACAGAAATCACCCACATCATCACCAGCAAAGACCTGCTACACAGCCGTCTCAAGGTAGGTTCTGCTAGCCTTGTCCTGTTCACTTCCTGCAATGCCATATGAGACAGTACAAACTCTAGCCAGATATTGAAATATGCCCACATTTTAAATAGTCTTACCCCATGTCCTGTTATGTCAAACTAGACAGTACACACACCAGCGTTATGTTTATATTGAAAATATGACCACATTATGAATAGTTTTCACCCATAAATATGCATTGGAACTAGGGCTGTCCAAGTTAACGTGTTGTTAATGCGTTAATGCGTGACATGTTTATCAGCGTAATGTTTTGGGATGCTGTTAATCGCATCTCCATTTCTTCACCGCATGGAATCTCTTAAGCTGACGTGTTTCCGCACGGACCATTTTAAAGCAGAAAACAACACGGAACACAGTTCCAGTCAATGCTTACAGCACTGAAGACCGTTTGCCTCTAGCCACAATCATGTAAAAGTTACGCCCAATATTACAGAAGCAATGTTTTTTCTTCGGATTCATGAGCATGTCATGGGCCGTTTTAAACTACTCGCGAGCGGCTCTTTTTTGATTTGATAACAAAGGACATTGTTTAGCTACATGTTAACTTGTCCACTGACTAGGCTATGCACACATTTGGCACAGGAAGAACTGAAACGGGATAGGTTACTCAAAGAGATGCTTCAAAGGTAGGCTGCATATGCAAGAGTGGGGTGTGTGTGTGTGTGTGTGTGTGTGTGAGAGAGCGGGAATAAGTGAGAGAGAGCGAGAGAGTGTGGAAGGGAGGGAGAGTGTTGAGGCCTATGTGTGTGTGAAGTTCTCTGAACAGTACAGATGGTTACTGTATTTTCATAACATTGTTGGACAAGTTTAGCATTCCTTTGTTCTTTGTATCCATAGAGCCAGTTATTTTTTCCTATAGTTACACGTATTTAGAATGCCTGAAGCTTTAACAGTACTTAAAGCTGTGTGTGTGCTTGTGTGTGTATGTCTGTCCAACTGCAATGTAGTCGATCTCAAACACGCATTTGACTTACTCAGTCAATAGCTACTGACGCTCCCTTCTCTCCTTTCCTCCTCACCTCTCTGCCCAGGCCATCCTGTTAGAGGTGCCTCGGCTGCAGCACATCATCGTGGTGGACAGTAAGCCAACCAGCTGGCCTGGCTTCCCCCGCGGCATCATGGTCCACAACTTGGACGCCGTGCAGGAGCTGGGCTCCAGACCCGACAACAGTAAGGAGGGAGAGTGGGGGTGGGTAGGGTGTGTGTGTGTTGGGGTCTATGTGATGTCTGACACGGTACAGTACTTCTGCCCTGTGTTCTTAGCGACTCTGTACCCATATTGCCCTCTTTGTCGTATTCTACCAGATTGTATTAGCCCTGTGCTATGTGTGTGACCTCTCTTGAAAGAGAGATAGCTGTACTCTGACGCATTGTGCCATGTTCTGACCCAAAGGTCTTGGTCTATGTGACCTCTCTAACCTCCCTGCTGCTCCCCTCTCTCTCTCTGTGGCTGTGTGTAGTGGCGGTGGCACGCCGGCAGCCCCTGCCCTCTGACATCGCTGTCATCATGTACACCAGCGGCTCCACCGGCATCCCCAAGGGCGTCATGATCTCCCATAGCAACATCATCGCGGGCATCACGGGCATGGCAGAGCGCATCCCAGACCTGGAGTACGTACAGAGCACTATGGTGTCTTCTAGATTCTCTCTCTCTTCATCTTCTGTCTCTCACTGCCTCTCTTTCCCCTCGTGTGCCCTGAGCACTGTCTCTCTCTTTTTGTCTCTTTTCATTATTCTATCTCTCTCTGCCACCTTTTCCCCTATAGTATGTCAACCTATCTCTCTGTTTCTCCTCTCACTCCATGCCTTTCTCCTTCTCTTTGTCTCTTTGTTTCTCTCACCTCCTCAGCGTCTCCTGCTCGCCATCTCCTTCCCTCTGTAGTATGTTGTGTGTCTGTATGCTTGGCTGTTGAATAAAATGGTTTTGTTTCCATTGGTGCAGTGAGACAGACACCTACATTGGGTACCTACCGCTGGCTCATGTTCTGGAGCTGAGTGCAGAGTTGGTGTGTATCTCTCACGGCTGCTGCATCGGATACTCCTCCCCACAGACGCTAGCAGACCAGGTGCCCACACACACACGCCAAGACACAATCACACACATGCCAAGCACCACCACTAGATCCCCTGTAAGCTCTCCTCCTGTTCTCTGTCCTCTCACTGATCCACTCTCTCTTTCCTCTGTCTCTTCTCTCTCCATCCCAGTCGACAAAGATTAAGAAGGGCAGTAAAGGAGACACAAGTGTTCTGAAGCCTACACTCATGGCTGCTGTACCGGTAAGCACCCAATCAGACCTCTTCTACATGTCCTCGTCTCCAAAGCGACCATAAAATATATAACAGTTAATATTCAGTTAAATTAAACACCAGTACAAATGATATGACCTGAGTAAGATACACAGAACATTTTGGAATGGCCCCTTTAATTGAAGATAGCCTCCCTCCTATAGGAAATCATGGATCGTATCTATAAGAATGTGATGACCAAGGTGGAGGAGATGAGCAGTGTACAGAGAACCCTGTTTGTGTTGGCCTACAACTATAAGATGGAACAGATCACCAAGGGCTACAGCACCCCGCTCTGTGACAGGTAACACACACACACACACACACACACACACACACACACACATACCTGTTGCACAGCAAACACATGCATGTGCACACACACACACAATGAGTAATGATTGATAGACAGACTATAATTCACTTTTTTCCCCTTTCTTTCATTCACTCACACACTTGCTCAGTGGTGCGCACAACAAACAAACCAATACTACTGATATAGCTTGTGGCATTGCTGTGGGGTATTCCTGCATTAAAAATAAACACAAGATTCACATAGAGTTTTACTGTGTGGTGAATGACTTGGTGTTATAGCTACAGTGCCTTCAGAAAGTATTCATACCCCTTGACTTATTCCACATTTTGTTGTTATAGCCTAAATTCGAAATGGATTTAAAAAATGTTTTCTCACCCATCGGCACACAATACGCCATAATGACAAAGTGAAAACATGTTTTTAAAACTTGTTGCACATTTATTGAAAATTAAATAAAGATATCTCATTCCTCTGTAGCTCAGCTGGTAGAGCACGGCGCTTGTAACGCCAAGGTAGTGGGTTCGATCCCCGGGACCACCCATACACAAAAATGTATGCACGCATGACTGTAAGTCGCTTTGGATAAAAGCGTCTGCTAAATGGCATATTATTATTATTATTATTATTATTATTATTACGTAAGTATTCACACCTTTGAGTTAATACTTTGTAGAAGCACCTTGGGCAGCGATTACAGCTGTGTCTTTCTGGGTAAGTCTCTAAGAGCTTTCCACACATTTGCCCATTGTTATTTTCAATATTATTCAAGCTCTGTCAAATTGGTTGTTGATCATTGCTAGACAACCATTTTCAGGTCTTGCCATAGATTTCAAGTAGATTTAAGTAAAAACTGTAACTCGGCCACTCAGGAACATTCACTGCCTTCTTGGTAACCAACTCCAGTGTAGATTTGGCCTTGTGTTTTAGGTTTATTGTCCTGATGAAAGATGAATTCATCTCCCAGTGTCTGGTGGAAAGCAGACTGAACCAGGTTTTCCTCTAGGATTTTGCCTGCGCTTAGCACCATTCAGTTTCTTTTTTATCCTGAAATTCCCCAGTCCTTAACGATTACAAACATACTCATGACATGATGCAGCCACCACTATGCTTGAAAATATGGAGAGTGGTACTCAGTAATGTGTTCTATTGGATTTGCCCCAAACATAACACTTTGTATTCAGGACAAAAAGTGAATTACTTTGCCACATTTTTTGTAGTAGTACTTTAATGCCTTGTTGCAAACAGGATGCATGTTTTGGAATATTTGTATTCTGGACAGGATTCCTTTTCACTCTGTCATTAGTATTGTTGAGTAACTACAATGTTGTTGAGCCATCCTCAGTTTTCTACAATCACAGCCATTAAACTCGGTAACTGTTTTAAAGTCACCATTGGCATGGTGAAATCCCTGAGCGGTTTCCTTCATCTACGACAACTGAGTTAGGAAGGACACCTGTATCTAGTGACTGGGTTTATTGATACACCATCCAAAGTGTAATTAATAACTTCACCATGCTCAAAGGGATATTCAATGTTGTCTTTTTTAGTTTTTTACCCATCTACCAATAGATGCCCTTCTTTGCGAGGTATTGGAAAACCTCGCTGGTCTTTGTGGTTGAATCTGTGTTTGAAATTCACTGCTCGATTGAAGAACCTTACTATTATCTGTATGTGTGGGGTACAGAGATGAGGTAGTCATTCAGAAATCATGTTAAACACTTATTGCACACAGTGACTCCATGCAAGTTATTATTTGACTTGGTAAGCACATTTTTACTCCTGAACTTATTTAGGTTCGTCATAACAAAGGGGTTGAATACTTATCGACTCAAGACATTTCAGCTTTTCATTTTTAATTAATTTGTAAAAAATTCAAAGAACATAATTCCACTTTGACATTATGGGGTATTGTGTGTAGGCCAGTGACAAAATCTCAATTGAATTCATTTTAAATTCAGGCTGGAACACAACAAAATCTGGAAAAAGTCAAGGCGTGTGAATACTTTCTGAAGGCACTGTATCCTCTGACTCACTGTCATATCCTCTTCTCTGTCTTATTTTCTTCTTTCTCTCCCTCTCTCCAGTCTGGTGTTTAAGAAGGTGCGCTCATTGTTGGGGGGTCACATGAGGGTGCTGCTGTCGGGCGGAGCGCCCCTTTCTGCCGCCACCCAGCGCTTCATGAACATCTGCCTCTGCTGTCCCGTGGGCCAGGGCTACGGCCTCACCGAGACCTGCGGAGCTGGCACCATCAGCGAGAGTAAGAGAGAGAGGGAGAGGGGGATGGAGGGTAGATGGAGGAGATAGTTCCAGTAAGATGGGAGGATAAAGGAGAAGGTTGTTTGTAGACTCCCGCTGCCTGGAAGAGCGAGATGGGGTGTGATAGAGAGAAAGCCAAGTGATTGTACACACTAGTGTGCTATTCTATGTTCTCACACTTATTTTTTCTCTCTCTGTGTCAGTGTGGGACTACAGCACAGGCCGGGTCGGAGCTCCTCTGGTCTGCTCTGAGATCACCCTCAAGGACTGGGAAGAGGGTGAGCACATCGCATTGGGACTGTAGAATGGGTGATAGTAGGGGAGGGCTGGGAAGAGAACAGGTGAGACTGGAGGGTGGATGTCAGTGGGTTGGGCCGGGAGGGTGGAGGTGAGTGGGTTTGGGGGCTTGGGTGAATGAAACTTGCATTGGAAAGGGTGGCGCTGAAGATACTTTGGAGATAGCCTTCTCCTTCTCTTCCCCAGGCGGTTACTACAGCACGGACAAGCCCAACCCGAGAGGTGAGATTGTGATTGGCGGGCCCAACGTGACCATGGGTTACTACAAGAACGAGGTGAAGAACCGTGAGGACTTCTTCATGGACAGCAACGGCCAGCGCTGGTTCTGTACGGGAGACATCGGAGAGCTCCACCCTGACGGCTGCCTCAAGATCATCGGTGACGAACCTGGCGACAAAGAGAACATTCTAGACTAGAGACCCCTAGCTTAGGCGCAGAACATGTGATATCTCATCAGTAGTGGAAGGGGGATTGTGGTGTGTGTGTGTCTTAACAGTGTGTTCCTCCTGTGTAGACCGTAAGAAGGACCTGGTTAAACTCCAGGCTGGGGAGTATGTGTCTCTGGGGAAGGTGGAGGCCATGCTGAAGAACTGCCCTTTCGTAGACAACATCTGTGCTTACGCAAACAGGTAACAATGCACATATTACTGTATATACCACCCGTGTGACTAGACTCTATATATACACTCCCCTCCGTATGTATTTGGACATTGAAGCTAAAATTCTATACTCCAGCATTTTGGATTTGAGATCAAATGTCTCATGAGGTGACGGTACAGAATGTCACCTTATATTTGAGGCTATTTTCATACATATCTGTTTTAATGTTTAGAAATGAAAGCACTATGTATCTAGTCCCCACATTTGAAGGCGTCAAGTAGTTGGACAAATTCACTTATAAGTATTCAAAAGTTGAGTATTTGTTCCCACATTCATTGCACACAATGACCACATCAAGCTTGTGACTCTACAAACTTGTTGGATGCATTTTCAGTTTGTTTGGATTATGTTGTGCCCAATAGAAATGAATGGTAAATAATGTATTGAGCCATTTTGGAGTCACTTTTATTGTAAATAAGAATATAATGTTTCTGAACACTTCTACAGTGAGGGAAAAAAGTATTTGATCCCCTGGTGATTTTGTACGTTTGCCCACTGAAAAAGACATGATTAGTCTATAATTTTAATGGTAGGTTTATTTGAACAGTGAGAGACAGAATAACAACAACAAAATCCAGAAAAACGCATGTCAAAAATGTTATGAATTGATTTGCATTTTAATGAGGGAAATAAGTATTTGACCCCTCTGCAAAACATGACTTAGTACTTGGTGGCAAAACCCTTGTTGGCAATCACAGAGGTCAGACGTTTCTTGTAGTTGGCCACCAGGTTTGCACACATCTCAGGAGGGATTTTGTCCCACAGCCTCTTTGCAGATCTTCTCCAAGTCATTAAGATTTCGAGCCTGACGTTTGGCAACTCGAACCTTCAGCTCCCTCCACAGATTTTCTACGGGATTAAGGTCTGGAGACTGGCTAGGCCACTCCAGGACCTTAATGTGCTTCTTCTTGAGCCACTCCTTTGTTGCCTTGGCCGTGTGTTTTGGGTCATTGTCATGCTGGAATACCCATCCACGACCCATTTTCAATGCCCTGGCTGAGGGAAGGAGGTTCTCACCCAAGATTTGACGGTACATGGCCCCATCCATCGTCCCTTTGATGCGGTGAAGTTGTCCGGTTCCATTAGCAGAAAAACACCCCCAAAGCATAATGTTTCCACCTCCATGTTTGACGGTGGGGATGGTGTTCTTGGGGTCATAGGCAGCATTCCTCCTCCTCCAAACATGGCGAGTTGAGTTGATGCCAAAGAGCTCGATTTTGGTCTCATCTGACCCCAGCACTTTCACCTAGTTCACCATGTTCATTGGCAAACTTCAGACGGCCCTGTATATGTGCTTTCTTGAGCAGGGGGACCTTGCGGGCGCTGCAGGATTTCAGTCCTTCATGGCGTAGTGTGTTACCAATTGTTTTCTTGGTGACTATGGTCCCAGCTGCCTTGAGATCATTGACAAGATGCTCCTGTGTAGTTCTGGGCTGATTCCTCACCGTTCTCATGATCATTGCAACTCCACGAGGTGTGATCTTGCATGGAGCCCCAGGCCGAGGGAGATTGACAGTTATTTTGTGTTTCTTCCATTTGCGAATAATCGCACCAACTGTTGTCACCTTCTCGCTGCTTGGCGATGGTCTTGTAGCCCATTCCAGCCTTGTGTAGGTCTACAATCTTGTCCCTGACATCCTCGGAGAGCTCTTTGGTCTTGGCCATGGTGGAGAGTTTGTAATCTGATTGATTGATTGCTTCTGTGGACAGGTGTCTTTTATACAGGTAACAAGCTGAGATTAGGAGCACTCCCTTTAAGAGTGTGCTCCTAATCTCAGCTCGTTACCTGTATAAAAGACACCTGGGAGCCAGAAATCTTTCTGATTGAGAGGGGGTCAAATACTTATTTCCCTCATTAAAATGCAAATCAATTCATAACATTTTTGACATGCGTTTTTCTGGATTTTGTTGTTGTTATTCTGTCTCTCACTGTTCAAATACGCCTAGCATTAAAATTATAGACTGATAATTTCTTTGTCAGTGGGCAAACGTACAAAATCAGCAGGGGATCAAATACTTTTTTCCCTCACTGTACATTAGTGTGGATGCAATTATGATTACGGGAAATCATAAATTAATTGTGAATAATGATGAGTGAGAAAGTTACAGACACACACACATTATACCTCCAAGACATGCTAACCTCCCCTGTTAGTTGGTAATGTTGAGAGGTTAGCATGTCTTTCTCACTCATGAAAAATGTATCCTGTGAAGAGACCTCTGGTTGCATGTCTTGTGTTGTACCCGATGAGTGTCCGAACTGTGTCAACTGCTTGAACAGACAGTTCGGTACCTTCAACACATCAATACCTTGCACAAAGATCAATAGTGATGCAGTCAATCTCTCCTCAACTTTGAGCCAGGAGAGACTGACATGCATGTTACTGACACTTTCCCTCTGTGTACATCTAAATGTGATACGTGCTGCTTTGTTCTGGACCAACTGCAATTTACCCACAGTTGAAGTCGGAAGTTTACATACACCTTAGCCAAATACATTTAAACTCAGTTTTTCACAATTCCTGACATTTAATCCTAGTAAAAATTCCCTGTTTTAGGTCAGTTAGGATCACCACTTTATTTTAAGAATGTGAAATGTCAGAGTAATATTATTTCAGCTTTTATTTATTTCATCACATTCCCAGTGGGTCAGAAGTTTACATACACTCAATTAGTATTTGGTAGCATTGCCTTTAAATTGTTTAACTTGGGTCAAACGTTTCGGGTAGCCTTCCACAAGCTTCCCACAATAAGTTGGGGGAATTTTGGCCCATTCCTCCTGACAGAGCTGGTGTAACTGAGTCAGGTTTGTAGGCCTCCTTGCTTGCACACGCTTTTTCGGTTCTGCTCAAATTTTTTCTATAGGACTGAGGTCAGGGCTGTGTGACGGCCACTCCAATAACTTGACTTTGTTGTCCTTAAGCCATTTTGCCACAACTCTGGAAGTATGCTTGGGGTCGTTGTCCATTTTTGGAAGACCCATTTGCGACCAAGCTTTAACTTCCTGACTGATGTCTTGAGATTTTGCTTCAATATATCCACATAAATTTCCTTCCTCATGATGCCATCTATTTTGTGAAGTGCACCAGTCCCTCTTGCAGCAAAGCACCCCCACAGCATGATGCTGCCACCCCCATGCTTCACAGTTGGGATGGTGTTCTTCGGCTTGCAAGCCTTCCCCTTTTTCCTCCAAACATAACGATGGTCATTATGGCCAAACAGAGGACATTTCGCAAAAAAGTCCCCATGTGCAGTTGCAAACCGTAGTCTGGCTTTTTTATGGCGGTTTTGGAGCAGTGGCTTCTTCCTTGCTGAGCGGCCTTTCAGGTTATGTCGATATCGGATTTGTTTTACTTGGAATAGATACTTTTGTCCTGTTCCTCCAGCATCTCACAAGGTCTTTGCTGTGTCGGATGATTTGCACTTTTCGCACCAAAGTACGTACCCTCTAGGAGACAGAGCGCGTCTCCTCCTGACGTATGAGGTGGTGTTCCTGTGTTAATGCGTTCATTGTTTGTACAGATAACGTGGTACCATTAGGCCCGTTTGGACATTTCCAAGATAACCAGATTGTGGAGTGCAAACCCATTTTTTTTCGAGTCTTGGCTGATTTCTTTTGATACATCCACAGGTACACCTCCAATTGACTCAAATTATGTAAATTAGCCTATCAGAAGCTTCTAAAGCCATGACATCATTTTCTGGAATTTTCCAAGCTGTTTAAAGGCACAGTCAACTTAGTGTATGTCAACTTCTGACCCACTGGAATTGTGATACAGTGAATTATAAGTGAAATAATCTGTCTGTAAAAAAAAATATTTTGTCATGCACAAAGTAGATGTCCTAACCGACTTGCCAAAACTATAGTTTGTTAACAAGATATTTGTGGAGTGGTTGATAAACAAGTTTTAAAGACTCCAACCTAAGTGTATGTAAACTTACGACTTCAACTGTATGTCCTTCTTTGCCGCACATGACACACACAGCTGGGCACTAGTCCAGGTGCGACAAAACTAGGACATGTAGAACCTGTCTGGTCAACTGAGATGTCAAGAAGGCAGAGCAATGCCCTATCATGGACAGACCTCTTCCCATTTTAGCAACCATTGAGTGTATATGTTTTGACCATGACAGCTTGCTATCTAGGGTTGCACCCAGCAGTTTAGTCTCCTCAACTTGCTCAATAGCCACATTATTAAATAATCGATCTAAATGACGTTGAGCGAGTGATTTGTCCCAAAAATGATGCTTTTAGTTTTTGAACTATTTAGCACCAGCCTATTGCTAGTTACCCATTCTAAAACTGACTGGAGCTTTATGTCTCAGTTATTTATTTTACTGTTGCAGCCGACGTGTATACTGTTGAGACATCAGCGTACATAGACACACAGGCTTTATTCAAGGTCAGTGGAAGGTCATTTGTAAAAACAGAAAACAATAATGGCCCAAGCCGGCTGCTCTGTGGTTCACCACACTCAACTGAATTTGCATGAGAGGCTTCCATTAACGAAAACCCTCTGTGTTCTATTAAATTGGTAACTCTCAATCCATGATAAGGCAGAGGATGCAAATCCATAAAGCCTACGTTTTTTCAGCAATAGGTTATGATCAATGACATCAAAAGCTGCACTGAAGTCTAACAAAACAGCTCCCACAATCTTCTTACTCCAGAGATTTTTACTATCATTCTTTATATCATTTATCTTTGTTCCATAGTATAGTTTCTTCTTCTTTTTGTTTAGTTTAGTCACGTGATTTCTCAATTTACTGTATGTTTGCCAGTCTGCTGTGTTGTCAGACTTATTTGCTATTCCCTGATTGTCTGTCTCTTTGTCAACTCTTTCCATCTCTATTTCTGTCACAATGTCTCCATCTCCTGTCTGTGCCACCCACGTTCTACCTCTCTCTCACTCGCTCTCTTTGTCTTTCTGACAAATTTCTCTCTCCATCCTATATCCCAGGGGTTCCCAACCTTTTCCCCCCATGGACCCCTATTTCAACGTGTTAAATGCACCACCAGGTTCCTGCAATTCTACGTAGTTTAACATATCTATTTTTGGGTATGCTATTACATGATAATGATCTACGAAATCAAGTCTAGCCCGTATTTGATGTTATTTTCCTACCAAATATGTTGTAATATTGTAATTCCCATTAAAAGAGAAGTCTCCCCCCCCCCCCCCCCCCCCTTCCCTCAAATCAATTAAGGCCCTGCAATTCCCTCAGGACACTTTGGGGACCCCTAGGTTGGGAACCACTGCTCTATCCTATTCTCTTTCTCCCAATCTCTACCTTTATTAACTCATATTATTCTCACTATTTTATTATTCTAATAATATAAAAAGGAAATACAAATATACTGTATTGGCTTAATAAAACTAACACTACTTCTCTCCCTATTTCCTCTCCTTCTCACTTAGTGACCAGTCATATGTGATTGGCTTTGTGGTGCCCAATCAAAAGCAGCTGACAGTGTTGGCAGAGCAGAGAGGGTTACGGGGCAGCTGGGAGGAGATCTGTAACAACCCTGACATGGAGAGAGACGTCCTCCGCATCATCACAGAGGCCGCCCTGTCAGGTATGATGGAGGGGAGGGAAGGGATGGAGGGAGGGAGGGAGGGAGGGAGGGAGGAAAGTAAGGGTTAGTTAGGGAAGAGGGGGATGGAGGGAAGAGGAGAAAGAAAAAGGGGTAATGAGAGAGGGATGGAGGGGACGATGAGAGACTAATGGAGGGAGGTAGGGGTCTCTGGTTGTAACAAGAGTATTGTTTCTCCTCCTAACCCTCACCCATCTTTATGGCCATAACGTCTCTAAAGTCCAGTGTTGTGTTTCCTCCAGCCAAACTTGAGGGCTTTGAGATCCCTAAGAAGATCTGTCTGAGTGCAGAGCCCTGGACCCCAGAGACTGGCCTGGTCACGGACGCATTCAAACTCAAACGCAAGGAGCTTAAATCACATTACCAAGATGACATCGAAAGGATGTACGGTGGCAAGTAACACACACACTCAAAGACACACACAGGTACAGACATATGCAAGGAATAAACACTACCAAGATGACATGGAGACTGGAGAGGATGTACAGTGGCAAGTTACACACACACAGAGAGAAGGAACTACCCATTGTACTTCCTCCTCCTTTCGATATCCCTTCCGGCTAGTTACGATCAAATGGAAAAGAACTCTGTCAGTCAATCCAGACCCCCAAAAAAGACGGAGAGGCCAAGCCAGTTGGAGCAACATCCGTTGCTTCTCCAAAGGTTTTTCTGGGTCTGTGTGTTGCGATGACGATGGTGGCATCATGACGATGAAGGATGTTGACATGACCCGGCGGAGACACAGGAAATGACAAGTTTGTACAAAAGACTGCTTCGGCACTATGTCCATGTCCCACTTCTCCGCTCCTCCAACCCCCCCAACGGATGAAAACTGACTGAAACGGGGAACGACTACCTGAACTTTTCCAATAAGAAACGCTTGTTTTCCACTGCAAAATGTTTTGCTACAGTGAACACTAATGAATATGACCCTGAAAAGGGAGGGCCTTCGGTTTAAACGTTCCACATCCAGGTTTGAATCTATGCAGGGATCTCTTTTCTTGTATATGTTTTTTTGGGGTGTGGTGATATTTGTTGTTTTGTTCATTTTTCATTATGGTTCTTTAACGTATACGGTTTGTCTTCGTTCGCTTCCGAAGCCCATTCGATGAACATCTTGTGTCTGAGAGAAATCAGTGTTGCGAAGCCATGAGTTTTTTTTTTTACAGCAAATTGCGTTCTTAATTTACTTTTCTTTATATTTTTCTGAAAAGTTTGTTTCTCATTTATATCGGTTACCGAACCGATATTTTGTTACTCTTTTCCTCTTTTTGTGTGTGGGAATTTCCTCAGTTTTTCTCCTTCATCTGCCTCTGTCCCAAAGGTTGGTTCTATTCTATTCTATGGAAGAGTATGTGTTTACTGACTTGACTCGAAGTCCTGTCACTCTTTTACTGTGCGTTAGTGATGTAATCTCCTTCCTGCTCTGTTCCTCTGTGTGTGGCTATGTGCTGATGTGATGTGCCTGGGTTGACTGGTGGAACCGGTTTGTCATAAATAATCAGTGTTGGTGAAACTACTCTGAAAATATAGTTTACAAAGTTACCAATTACTTCACACTGGAAGAAGTTAAGCTACACTAAAGCTATCCTTAAGAAAACGATATTCTACTTAACTGAAGTAGTTAAGACATCCAACCTACTTATTAAAAAGTTAGCATATCTAAATCTGAAATGTCAGCGACTACATATTGCAAGACAGATCACTCTTGAGTCGGATGTTAACAGAAAACTATGTTTCAAGTGATAATTAGGCAGATTTTATGCTGAAAAAGAAAGGAAATTCTTGCCTACTTCCGCCATATTTTATTTTGACAAAAAAAGTAGTATGTAACCTAGTTCCAGTAGTTAGCTACATGGCAAAAAAAGTCATTGGTGGTGAGGTGATGTGTCCAGGGTGGCTACACGGAAGTAGGATGAAGTTGCCCCATAAAGCGGATCTAAGTTTTTCTTGTCTCCCCTGTGATTGAGATAAGGTTGTGGAGAGGATAAACTGATCCTTGATCTGTGCCTAAGGGCAACTTCTCATCACGGGCTGTCAATCCGTCTGAGACCCTTATTCATGTATATTCTGTCACTTAACCAGCAGGGGCCAGTATATATACTACCAGTCGAAAGTTTGGACACACCTACTCATTATATTTTTACTATTTTCTACATTGTAGAATGATAGTGAAGACATCAGAACTATGAAATAACACACATGGAATCATGTAGTAACCCAAAAAGTGTTAAACAAATCAAAATATATTTTACATTTGAGGTTCTTCAAATAGCCACCCTTTGCCTTGATGACAGCTTTGCACACTCTTGGCATTCTCTCAACCAGCTTTGCTGCTTTTCCTTCACTCTGCGGTCCGACTCATCTCATACCATCTCAATTGGGTTGAGGTCGGGGGAATCTGGAGGCCAGGTTATCTGATGCAGCATTCCATCACTCTACGTCTTGGTAAAATAGCCCTTACACAGCCTGGAGGTGTGTTGGGTCATTGTCCTGTTGAAAAACAAATGATAGTCCCACCCACTAAGCCCAAACCAGATGGAATGGCGTATCGCTGCAGAATGCTGTGGAAGCCATGCTGGTTAAGTGTGCCTTGAATTCTAAATAAATCACAGACAGTGTCACCAGCAAAGCACCTCCACACCATAACACCAGCTCCTCCATGCTTTGCGGTGGGAAATACACATGCGGAGATCATCCGTTCACCCACACCGCGTCTCACAAAGACACTAAAAATCTCAAATTTGGACTCCAGACCAAGGGACACATTTCCACCGGTCTAATGTCCATTGCTCGTGTTTCTTGGCCCATGCAAGTCTCTTCTTCTTATTGGTGTCCTTTAGTAGTGGTTTCTTTGCAGCAATTCGACCATGAAGGCCTGATTCATGCATTTATTTGGACTGCAATTTCTTAGGCTGGTAACTCTAATGAAACTTATCCTCTGCAGCAGAGGTAACTCTGGGTCTTGCATTCCTGTGGCGGTCCTCATGAGAGCCAGTTTCATCATAGTGCTTGATGGTTTTTGCGACTGCACTTGAAGAAACTTTCCCTATTGACTGACCATCATGTCTTAAAGTAATGATGGACTGTTGTTTCTCTTTGCTTACTTGAGCTGTTCTTGCCATAATATGGACTTTTCTTTTACCAAATAAGGCTATCTTCTGTATACCACCCCTACCTTGTCACAACACAACTGATTGGCTCAAACGAAGGAAATAAATTCCACAAATTAACTTTTAAGAAGGCACACCTGTTCATTTAAATGCATTCCAGGTGACTACCTCATAAAGCTGGTTGAGAGAATGCCAAGAGTGTGCAAAGCTGTCATCAAGGCAAAGGGTGGCTATTTGAAAAATCTCAAATATATTTTGATTTGTTTTAACACTTTTTTGTTATTTCATAGTTTTGATGTCTTCACTATTATTCTACAATGTAGAAAATAGTAAAATTAAAGAAAAACCCTTGAATGAGTAGGTGTGTCCAAACTTTTGACTGGTACTGTATATATATATATATATATATATATATATATATATATATATAATAATGTCCAAACTTACAGCTAGGGGTGTGTGGGGTTTGTGCGTGTGCTGATGTTTGGGTTTGTTAGTTTTTGTATGTGTGTCTCACTGCCCTGAGCTTGTTCCAAGTTTCCTATGTCTCTGAAGCCCACTGGATGCCCACCCACATGACCCGTGTCAGTCTGTTACCTTTCAACGTTACCTCTAGTAAAACAATGGTACCTACCTACACAGTATGCTGCTAAACCAGGTCTGTAGCTCCATAAACCATATTATCACCTGGACTATCTGGCTCTGTAAACCACAAAACCATGTGGATTGTCTCTATCAAATTGGCTCAAACCTGCCATGATATACCTTTTAAAATGATGATGACCAATGTACCTCATGCATGTCTCGAAGAGAACTAATGAATCCTAGTCCAGATCTGTAGTTGTTTGCATTTTTGATAGCTGTTTGGAAGCCTGTGTTTGTGTGTCATACACTAGCACTATCTACTCTATCAGACCCTTTTGATATTACAGTAATATATTGTCATATTTCTTTGTCACAGCTCTAGTTACTGTTACTATTATTGATGAAATATGAAATACAGATTGAATGTGCAATACTTATACGAAACACAAATTCTAAAACTAAAGGATGTAATGGAAAAATGCACAGAGAGAGAGCCCCTCCACAGTGTATGAATGTGTGGGTGTGGGCCTGTATCTTTCCAGACAGACAGACGGGCGGACAGTAAACGTTGTTATAGAAGTAGTAGCGTAGCCTCTATGGAGTGATATTAGTGCCAACAGAAATTTAATCTGAATTCAATCATCTTGAATTTAATCACATTTGTTGGCACTATTATGACTAAATACCTATTTTTCTGGATTGTGAAAGTACTGTGCCGATGACAATACCCAATTATATTGGGAACTCTGTAGTGAAGACTAATATTTTGGCCTTAAATGTTCTGAATGTAAAAGAAAAAGACTAATCAGGTTTCCATCCAAACTTCTTGTGCGAGTAAAGTAAATGTCACGACAGGCCTGATGGAAAACTTTCCAAATGTTGACACAACTAAATATGCCTTGTGGTGGGATCTTTTTGTGTCTGTAAAACTAATTAATGCGAAAAATGGTGGCGGAAACCATAATGTCTAAGTAAACTTGGAGTCACGCGATGGTATGTTGTGTGGTCCTCCCACTACGACTCGGAATAGCATGCAGTTTATTAGGCTACAGATGAAATAAGTTATGATGAATTCACAGGGTGGTGAAAGTGCACAGTGATGAGCTTGATGCTCCTTTCCAATAAATATCAAGGGTCTTATTCTTGTGACATGATATTCGATGATTGGCTGCTGTTCGACAAATACAATTTTGTCCCTAATAATCTCATAATGTGTAGGGTATATCTGCACTTTATCTGCAAGCTGTTGTTTAGAGCGCAAGTGCCAAGTCCAGAGTGGGCACATTCGCCATATAACTCAACATGTTTTGTGACAAAACCATAAGTAGAGTTTAAAATGCATGGAAACCCATTTAACCTGTCATTTTTTTATTTAACCGCAAAAGTTATTTTTATGTGCACTACGTCATCACGCACAGCCGTTTGTCCACAACAAGTCAATTTGATGGAAACACTGGTGGGAAACGGCGCAACATCTTTTTATGCAGATTTTAGAATATTTGCAGGAAAATCTGTGACGAATTGGATGGAAACCTGTCTAATGATGAAGAAAAAGGCACTACAGGGGAACAGAAAGGGATTTGGATCTCCATGAAGTTATTAGGGTTACATGATTCCTCGTGAATATATTTATAGTTTTAGTTATCGATAAGTCCTGAGGAAGGCCAAAATGTTCCAACTTTAATTAGGTATTTGGCAATAATTATTTTGGATACAGATTTCAAAGGTATGCCAGACATCCTTCCCCAAAATGACCTTTCTATGGATTTCATTTCAGAAAGATGAAAATCATCAAAAATATCTTTGGGCAAATCTTGTTTGGGAATTCCCCATATGTATAGGCTGCCATATTGTATCTATGCTCTGCAAATGAATGACTGTGTATGATTTGTGCAATGTATAGTATACAGCCTAGAATAGGAATAAGTATGAACTTGATGAACAAAGTCAAAGAAACTCCCCTTCTCAGAGGTTGGATTTCGCTTGGAATATATCAGCATAAAAAAATGACCCTCTGTTTTGAGAGTAGTCCAAAACACTGTTATGTATGGGGAACCCAGATGCAGGCTAGTTTCCTTTCTTTTTACATTTCCTGATATTTCATTGGTTCTTTGTATTCAACTCCCAACCAATCGGTCCAGTCCGCTGCTCTGCTATCCCATATCAGGCTACAGTTGGTGGGTTGCCTTGTTACACGATTAAGAAGATTTCTACATGGTTCATAGGAATATACAACGTGCTTTGTCCAAGTGTTTGTCTCTGAGGATACACATACATACATAACGTCCTAGTAGTGACGTCATCCACAAACTACTTTGTGTCGTCCTTAGGTACATCAGTGTGGTGTACAGATGAATTTGACCACTCCTATTGTTTCTCATACTGTAAATATGTTGGGAAGGGTTAATATGATCAAAGCTTATGAAGATATACCAGTGTTTGGGCTCTTTTTCTTTCTCCTTTTGTTTGGGTTACTGGCCTTGTCACATAGGCTATTTGCAAGCGTCTCCTTCCTTATTTATTTGAAATTTGACCTTGTCAAGAAAATAAATGTTTGTGATTGGTATAAAAATGCTCATATTTGTATGTGTTCATTCCGTTTCATTCATAGTTATGGGGATTATATTGATTCTTGCTAATGTCTTTTGAATGAGAATGATTTGATCTGTCTATATAACACCTGTACATTCCATCACAGACAAAAGAGTGACCCTCACAACGGTCCTAATGCAGCAGGTTAGGAGAATTTGGTTAAGGTTAGGAAAAGGGTTAGGGTTAACTAAAATGCAAAAAAAATCAGCTTTTGACGTAAATTTGACAAAAGCTGGATCCCTACTAGCTATGACCGGCTTGAGTAGAATCGTGTCCTGAAGCGAGCGTTTCTATGGCAATGAAGCACAGGAGGAAGTGGGTCTTTCTATAAACTAGGGTACGAGGGAGGATTTCCTACACTGGACATCTTGTTATAGCTGTTAAGTCATTGATAATAATCTGCCAATCTTTTTCATGTCATTACATTAAGTTATAAGGGGGGATCATAGCTACATTCAATAAAATTCACGAATTGATTTAAAACCCATGTTTAACCCTTTATAATGGTTGGTGTCTTGACGGATTTGTCCAAAATCTTATGACATAAAACTTTACTTTTCTGTCCTTGCATTAATGGCAGTGTAAGTTGTCATTATGTCATATATTAAGCATTAATCAATTAAATTAGACATTGAACTTGAACCCTGTAAGAACTTTGGATCTAGCTGTCTGACAGTTTTTTGTATAGAGATCTCAGAAATGCAGTGTAACTACGTAACATTTTGTGTCTCCTTATGTTACTTGGTGAAAACAGTTTTCATGGATACAAAAATCCAAAATAATAAATGCAATTGAAAAATCTAATGCTTCTAACCGAAAGAGTCACCTTACCTTGACTCTTAAAACATAGATCCATACTGTCATTTACATTTTAGTCATTTAGCAGACGCTCTTATCCAGAGTGACTTACAGTTAGTGAGTGCATACATTTTCATACTGGCCCCCTGTGGGAATCGAACCCACAACCCTGGCGTTGCAAACGCCATGCTCTACCAACTGAGCTACACAGGGACACATTAACGTGGTTCTTCAATAATTATGCATAATACTTGCATATAGAGCCCCACAGTGGAGGTGTCATAATACCCATAAAACCTAGCGGTCAAACAGGGAAATGGTTCCAATCGTTTTTCCACCATTAATTTTTCCCATAGGGGATTTTAGAAACACTTCAAATAAGTGCTGTGTTTCGTGTAGGCTTACCCTGGTGTGCTGTTTTGATAACCATGTAAATCTCTCTTGGACAAGGTGACTTTTGTCAATATACACTTTAAATAGCCCCTCAAGTCCTAGACACTGATTTAAGGATTTGGGGAAGGTGAGCTGATCCTAGATTTTACATTTTAGTCATTTAGCAGACGCTCTTATCCAGAGCGACTTACAGTTAGTGAGTGCATACATTTTTCATACTGGCCCCCCGTGGGAAACGAACCCACAACCCTGGCGTTGCAAGCGCCATGCTCTACCATCTGAGCTACAGGGGACTAGATCAGGGCCGAACTGCAACTTCTGACCGTTTGTCAATGTGAGCAGGGTACAGGCATTGTTGTTACTATGGAAATGGGATGGACAGTGTTATAAGGATGAAAGGCAGATGTTATCATCCGATAGCACAGAGACCATAGGGCCAGAAGTTTTTCCTGACCAGAGCCATATACACTGAGTATACAAAACATTAAGAACACCTGCTCTTTCCATGACATAGACTGACCAGGTGAATGTTTTGATCCCTTATTGTCACTTGTTAAATTCACTTCAATAAGTGTAGATGAAGGAAGGCAACAGGTTAAAGGATTTTTAAGCCTCGAGACAATAGAGACCTGGATTGTGTATGTGTGCCATTCAGAAGGTTAATGGGCAAGACAAAAGATTTAAGTGCCTTTGAACGGGGTATGGTAGTAGGTGCCAGGCGCACCAGTTTGAGTGTGTGCAGTTGTTAACGCGCAACAGTTTCCTGTGTGTATCAAGAATGGACCACCACCCAATAGACATCCAGCCAATAACATAACTGTGGGAAGCATTGGAGTCAACATGGGCCATCATCTGTGGAACACTTGACACCTTGTCGAGTCCATGCCCCAACAAATTGAGGCTGTTCTGAGGGCAAAAGGGGGTGCAACTCAATATTAGGACGGTGTTCCTAATGTTTTGTACACTGCACCACTTCAGAGCAGAGCCCTATTACATTTTAATCCAGCGTTTCCCAAACTCTGTCCTGGGGACCCCAAGGGATGCACATCTTGTTTTTTTCCCCTACCACTACACAGCGGATTCAATTAATGATCTCAAGCTTTGATTTGAATCAGCTGTGGGCCAGTATGAAAAATGTATGCACTCACTAACTGTAAGTCGCTTTGGATAAGATGTAAATGTAGTGCAAAAACCAAAACGTGCACACCAGGATCGAGTTTGGGAAACACTCTTATCCAGAGTGACTTACAGGAGCAATTAGGGTTAAGTACCTTGCTCAAGGGCACAGACAGATCTCACATAGTCGGCTTGAGGCCTGGTAAAAAAAGTGTACTAAATAGGGAGCCATTTGGGACACAAACATTCCAGTGCCGTTATCACCAGTTCCAACAAATCCCTATTAAGCAGTACAGTAGAGATTATCCCTGAACATCTGGTAGTTTAGATGAACCCATTACCACTAAGCGCAGGGTCGCACTCAATAAATACCAAACAGACCAAAACACAGGGATCTACCAGAACTTGTCCAATGAGACCTTGTTTTCGGTTGCAAAAAGTTTTACTATAGTGTGCAAAATGAATACAACCCTGCTTCCCCTCTGGGGTGAGGTTTCCCCTAGGTACAGATCTAGCATCAGCTTCCTCTCCCCCAATCCTAACCTTAACCATTAGTGGGGGAAATGCAAAACTGACCCAAGATCAGTGTCTAGGGTAACTTCACCCTACCATGAACACATGGGACAACGTGATGTTGAGACAAAAAACAAGACATGCTGGTCCAAACAATGCCCTGGGTTTTATTTGTGAGAATTCATTTTGTGGGTCTCAAAGAAAAAACCTCATGGATCAATTATGCCATTGGAATGGGCATTCAGATTGTGGTACAAAAACTAACCAGTAGCCTTGTTAAGTACCGTACTCTTCACAGAAGAGAGCTCGTATTTCCAAAAGGAAGGCACCCGATACTTGTTGTTTACCTTGGCCTGGCAGCCTTCGGGATAATTATTATTCTAAAAGCAAAGAAATCTGTATTTTTATAAATGTTTCCTTCTTGTTATGTATAAACTGGAATGATGATACATGTAGTCAAACAGTTACTGCATTCTTCTTCCTTATCGCATTTCATCAACAAGTAACAAAATAATGAAGTCTTTCATTAAGGAGCATACAATCATTATAAAAAAATAGAAGGGGGATACAAAAATAACAACATTTTTCACAAAGTAATTGGGGAAGGCATCTTAAAAACACAGGTAATCTGACAACAAAACAGAGCGCTAAATCGTAAAAGCAGCATTTATCCAAACTAGTGCTTAGATAAGTCAGACGCAGCAGTGACTAAGAAGAGACTTCATCCCCATTTTGTTACTTGTCTCAAAAACAATAAAAAAATGGAAGCGCTTAAGCAACCGATTACCCACCGACTGACAAACTGATGCCTTAAATCCACAGCCACCAACTCTGTATGAATGCATGTCACCATTTGTTTCCACATGATACAATGAACCAACAACCAGGAATCTGTGAGTGAGGACCACCTGGTTATGTTCAAAATACACAAAATACAGAGAAGTTCATAGCTACCTAAACACATCGACTACAGCACGGGAACCAATGAGGGAAGAGTGTACAAAAAATAACAATTCAACAAAATCGAACAACAAAAACTGTAAACACGGCACAATAAATAGATAAAACAGCAGGTTCCACACCATGCACTGACGTGATGACACACTGTTGTACAACTCCTCACACTCGCACCAGTTGCAGTTTGTCTTTTGACATTTTTTAATCCCAAGTGCAAAACATCACAAATGAACAATCTGTATTCAAGTAATGTTATATACAAGGGTGGTAGGGTATTACAAATATGCACTACTGTACTTACAATTGCCATATTCATAATTTACAGACGTTGATATTTCTTATTAACAGTAAAAAAATAAAGACAAGCATTGCAATTAAGTCCCAACAGTTGCCATGGAGACAGCGTTGAATGCTGTGTGCGTGCATACCACTGCCCCTTCCTTGCATTCACAACTACACGATGCATAGCACCTAAATGAGTTCCCGGCTGAGCCTTTAGTCCTGCCCGTGTTAAGAGGCTACGTGACCTCCATGGCCACTGTGTTGTCCGATATGCTGTTTAGTGCTGGCTTGTCTTGATCCTGATTTTCCCTGGATGCAGGTGGAGAGAATTATTTGTTAAAATTATCAGAGACTGTTCAACAATATCTACATTCATTATTGACACAGACGGACAGGTAGGTAATATTCCTGAAGCAGCAGTTTAAGCTACGGTGGTCTGAACACTAATTGTCAATTTCTCTGCACTGTGTCCCAAATGGACCCTATTCCCTATGTAGTATACTACAGCTCTATCAGAGCCCTGGTCAATAGTGCACTATAAAGGGATTAGGGTGCCATTTGGGACACAAACATGCGCATCCATTCCCTCCCCCTCTCTCACCTTGGCACCATGTCCATTGACGGGGTGTTGGTGGTGACCTTGGGCATTTGACAGTTAGCGGTGGCAGCCAGCTTTAAGGCAGATGACGACACAGCGACATGGGTGTGGCTTAGTGTCCGGGGTATGTTGCGCTTGGTGAGGGCCCCCCCAGCGGGACCCCCGGGGGAGGACATGCTCAGATGGAGGTTGTTGTTGTTCCCCATCAGGACCTGAGTGGTGGTGGACTTGGCAGCATTGGTGTGGGTGTGGGGGTTGCCGTTGTTGTTGAAAGTGCTGGGCAAGAGGAAGGGGGAGGAGGGGGTAGTGGTGGTCAGAGGGCTAGGGATGGAGGTGGGGGCAGCAGGCGACGGGGATGCTGTGCTAGTGAGGTGCAAGCCCTTGTAGACACCTGTAGGAAGGCAAAACAGAAAACAAATCATTAGGTCTGCATGGTACTCGCAGAAGCTATACAAGCAGTATCCCTTTTGATCGGTTCCAACCTTTCGTTTGCTTCTGTGAAAGCCCTGCATTTAATTGGAAAAGCACTCGCACATCTGAGGATACTTGTTGGAGGTGCGTGGGAATTATTTGATGTTATCTTGAAAGAAAAGGGAAACCTGCACACTGCCCTTACCGGATTGACTTGTATATATTTAGCTTGCATACCGGCCTCATGGCCTTCGTCAGTTTTACCTGCAGTTTTACCCGTCCAAAGTGATACCTGCAAACGCAATGTGCGAGTTTCTCTTTTCTTTCAAGCTCTTCTTTTAATACAAATGCTTTGGTGCAGTCAATGTTACCTGAGGGTGAAAGGAGCCCGTTGACCCCACTGCCCGGCCCTTCCTCATCCTTAGTCTTCAAGGCCAGCAGCTGGTCTGTGGTCACCAGGGCAGTTGCAGCAAACTGGGCACAGGCAGAATCTAACGTCTTGGAGACCAAAACCTGGAAGAGAGGGATAACAAGAACGTATTAACACCAAATTGAAAAGACTACCTGAGACGGACAGAGAGAGGAGAGACGGGCTATATGTATCAAGCATCTCAAGAGTAGGAGTGCAGCTCTAGGATCAGGTCCCTCCTGTCTATAGAATCATATTCATTATAATCCTAGATCAGTACCCTTATTCTGAGCAGCCCAGGTCAGAGAGCAGGCTAACTAACTAACCAACCTGTGTGCTTTTGGCAGTGGAGGTGGCGCTGTTGGCTTGCTGTTGGATCTGCTCTAGCTGCTGTTTCTGCATCAAGGCCAGCTGCTCCTGATGCTGCTGGTATTGTTGGGCGGTGAAAGCTGCAGGAGACACAGAGAGAGAGAAAAGAAAGAACCGGTCACACAGATCGGCCACATCAATATGGGGTGCAACCAATTTTCCTTAAAAACTTTTTTCGTCACTGTGCAAATTTCAGGTCTGCTGAGTGCAAACTTGAACATTGTGAAAATGTTGTGCAACTTCCAGCGTGTGTTTACTGTGAACACTGAGGCTGAACCCGCTTTACGTTACAGTTTCAGAGCGTGGTCAAGTAGGCTACTGTGGATGATCATAATGTAGGCCTACCAGAGTGGCCTACCATCAAAAACAATGGAGAAAATGCATCCCATAACATGGAAACAGCCTACAGTAGCAGCCAATGTGTGGTGTTAAATGTAGGCCTACATTCCGTGAGAATTTTGAGAGAAAAAAAACATGCAGGGCTTGACATTACACGGTTTATCCACTTGTCCTTCAGACAAGGTGACTGAAAATGTGTTGTTTGATGCAAGAAACCACTTTACAGAATAAAATGCATTAGTATTCCCATACCGTTATTATAAAGAATCAGACAAATTATTCAAATTATTATTGCCTATTGGCTACTTAGCTTATTCAAGCCAGTCTCAAAATACAACACTGCCCCTTTGACAAAAGCAAAAGCTCTGTACCCGACTCACTTTTCAAAGATGTCTAGAAATGTACACGTTTTGTGCTCTTGTAGGAAGCAATCACTGCCCCATTGCTGACTACAAATTATATATAACTGGGCTAATAAGTAGCAAAGACTATGAACAAATGTGCCCACATTGCTACATGAAGCTCTCGCTTTGATCTCAAAACAAGCGCATCTACTCACGACCACTCATACTGTAAACACAGTCCAGTTCAAAGTGAATGGCACAGATGCATTATGGCAATGGTCTATTTGCATATAGGCCTACTGCAGCTCTGATTGGTTACGACACACTGGTCTGTGTAGAGTACGGGCCTGAGTCGTGCCCGTCAATGCAATAGAATCCTACTCCAATGCGTTCTGCCAACAACAAAATCTCTTGCATAGTTAGTTTTGAATGCTAAGTCTTACATAGTTCCTTTTGTTTTAAGACCCCTTAAGGTATCAAAACATAAAATGTAAAAAATGAATGGATGAAACATTGAATTTGGCATTACTGCCATCAGCCAATAGAAATGCATTGAATAACAGATATTCCCCAAAAAATCTAAAGTAAGTTTGTTCTGAAGTGTCTGTCCTATATCTGAGAAATATAAGCTCAGGAAACAATTTGTATTATTATTATTTTTTACATGTACAGTGCATTCAGAAAGTATTCAGACCCTTTGACTTTTTCCATATTTTGTTTCGTTACAGCCTTATTTTTTAATTCCTCAATCTACACACAATACCCCATAATGACAAAGTGAAAACAGGTTTTTATAAATTCTTTGCAAATTCATTAAAAATAAAACAGAAAATACCTTATTTACATAAGTATTCAGACCCTTTGCTATGAGACTCAAAATTGAGCTCAAGTGCATCCTGTTTCCATTGATCATCCTTGAGATGATTCTACAACTTGACTGAATCCACCTGTGGTAAATTCAATTGATTGGATATGATTTGGAAAGGCACACACCTTTCTATGTAAGGTCCCACAGTTGACAGTGCATGTCAGAGCAAAAACCAAGCCATGAGGTTGAATGAATTGTCCGTAGAGCTCCGAGACAGGATTGTGTTGAGGCACAAATCTGGGGAAGGGTATCAAAAAAATAATGTCTGCAGCATTGAAGGTCCCCAAGAACACAGTGGCCTCCATCATTCTTAAATGGAAGAAGTTTGAAAACGCCAAGACTCTTCCTAGAGCTGGCCGCCCAGACAAACTGAGCAATCAAGGGAGAAAGGCCTTGGTCAAGAACCCGATGGCCACTCTGAACTCTGGAACTATATACATTTTATGAACACAGTCAATTTTACAATAATTCTATTTTGTTTGTTTTTACTACTGAACTTCCTCTACCCTCAACCTCTCCGATCATTTTCATGATGTCCATCCGGTTTGCTTCTATATGCCATATCTTTAACTGTGCTCTTTCACAAAAGTTCTCAACCTATAATCTATATACTTATTATGGACACAGTATGCTTACATTATTAGTTATCTTGTTGTTATTAGTCCCATCCTTCAACTCCACCCATCTCTCTCTTAACACCATGTGATGTTTTACAAAAGTTCTGAACCTTTCTATTCTCATTGTTTCTACAGATTGTAAATTGAAAATAATTGTTTTTTGCTAAAAGTATTATTATATTATTGATCGATTGACTATGACTTTTCAGATCACCCAGTAATGCTATCTTCAGGGTTAGCTCCAGGTAAATATTGCAATCATTTAGCCATTCCTGGACCTGTGTCCAAAAACAAGATACAAATGGACAGTACCAAAACAAATGATCTAATGATTCTGTCTCTTCGCAGCAAAATCTGCAGAGCTGGGAAGATTGTATCCCCCATATAAATAACATTCTATTGGTAGCAAGAATTTTATATAATAATTTAAATTGAAAAATTATAAGTTTTGAATCCGGCGTCGTTTTGCCTATCTGTTCATAAACGCTATGCCATGGGATCGGTACATCAAATCTCTTCCCAACTATTTTGCGATCTATATGGGACGGCTGTCAATCATTTGGTCCTTAAATGAAACTGGTATACTTTTTTATTGATCACAGTTTTCTTTAACCAATTATGTTCTTTAATGCAAGGCCGACAGACAAGTTCCTTACTTTTCCCCCCTTCCACTTTGCTCTTCCATTTTTGCGGTAATGCTGCAATTATTTGGTTGTAATTTTGGGTAGAGCAGACATTTCCATATGTTTTTGTTAGCTGCATGTGCGACCTAACTCCACCAGTCCTACCGATGATATCATTTACGAAGAAAATGAGTTTTTTAATCAATTAGTATGTTTGAGTTTAACCACTATTTGTTGCATTATTTGTTCTGTCGTTTCTGGAGAATTAAATTGAAATTGCAACCAACTTTCTATGGCTTGTTTTAGAAATAGTGATATTTGGGAGATGATTTCCTTTTCAAATAACTGAAAGTGAGAGGTTGTAATCTGAATAAAGGGAAAAAGGCCATTCTTGATCATTGGGTGAGACAATCTTACTAATTTGCTAGAAAACCAGTTCGGATTTAAGTATAACTTTTGTATGACTGAAGCTTTTAGTGATCGGTCTAATGCTTTAATATTTAATAATTTCTGTCCTCCGAATTCATATTCATTATATAAATAGGCCCGTTTAATTTTGTCTGGCTTGCCGTTCCAAATAAAATTGAATTTTTTTTCTCATATAATTTTAAAAAACTGTTCGCTAGACGTAGGCAAGACCATAAGCAAATAGGTAAACTGGGATAATACTAAAGATATATTTTTTTATTGATCTAATACGTAATATAGTACATTTATCATAATTTGGTTGTAATCCAGAGAGGTTAGAAAATGTATCTAGATCCTCTGAGGCTGTGGAGGGATTCAAGTTGTGGATTTAAAAGAAAACATGAATCATCAGCGTACAATGACACCTTTGTCTTTAAGCCCTAGATTTCTAATCCCTTGATATTATTGTTGGATAGCTAACATCTCGATGGCCATAATAAATAGATATGCCGATAGTGGACATCCTTGTTTCACTCCTCTTGACAGTTTAAAACTGTCTGAGAAATAGCCATTATTTACTATTTTACACCTAGGGTTACTATACATGATTTTAACCCATTTTATAACAGATTCTCCAAAATTGAAATGCTCCAGGCATTTATATATAAACCCCAGTCGTACTTTATCAAATGCCTTTTCGAAGTCTGCTATGAATAGCAGGCCTGGTTTCCTAGATTTTTCATAGTATTCTACTGTTTCCAGTACTTGCCTTATATTATTATCTCCAATGTATCTTCCATGTAAAAAACCTGTCTGCTTAGAATGAATAATGTCCGACAATAACTTTAATTTTATGAGCGATACATTTTGCTTGAATTTTTGCATCACAACACTGAAGTGTAAGGGGCCTCAAAAAAAATTTATGGACTGGATCTTTATATATTTTCCACTTGTATCCTGTTTCAGTAATAATGAGATCAGACCTTCTTCTTGAGTGTCAGATAATCTACCATTTACATAGGAGTGGTTAAAACATGCTAATAACGGTCCTCTGAGTATATCAAAAAAGGTTTGGTATACCTCGACTGGCATGCCATCCAACCCTGGCGTTCTCCCGGACTTAAAGTCTTTAATTGCATCCAGAAGTTCCAAAATCTCTTCAATTAGCTTCAGTTAGAGGAGATGGAGGCGACTGAAACGAAAACATATGCTTAAAGTACTTTTGGTAAAAGACCTTCATGTCTTAAAGTAATGATGGACTGTTGTTTCTCTTTGCTTATTTGAGCTGTTCTTGTCATAATATGGACTTGGTCTTTTACCAAATAGGGCTATCTTCTGTATACCACCCCTACCTTGTCACAACACAACTGATTGGCTCAAACGCATTAAGGAAAGAAATTCCACAAATTAACTTTTAACAAGGCAAACCTGTTAATTGAAATGCATTCCAGGTGACTGCCTCATGAAGGTGGTTGAGAGAATGCCAAGTGTACAAAGCTGTCATCAAGGCAAAGGGTGGCAACTTAAAATAATCTTAAATATAAGATTTTGATTTGTTTAACAGGTAGGCTAGCCCATCACGCAACACATTCTAGGGAAACGAGGTCACAGCAGTGAGAAACTGGTCGACTGCCAACATCTGTGTGTTCAAGGAAAACTGGCACTCAGACGAAACACATCCCTACAATTCCCTCTGCGTCTCAGACATTGACCCGGTGACAGTGAGTTCACCCAACAAACACTGGCTGTCTGGACTGACACACAGTTCACACGTGTGAACTGTTCTACACCCAGTGATCATAGGCTAACTTCAACTCGCATAGAGAACACGGGACTTGCAAACCAAATATATCACAAAATGAAAGGTAACCTTGGATGGTAGAGGTC